CCCCAAAACCCCAAAACCCCAAAACCCCAAAACCCCAAAACCCCGAAGGGATAAAATCAATTTGAATTAGACTATTATGCTTCATGTTCATGTAAATCATTTGATTTGTTGAATATGTACTCTGCTAAATAATCAATTGGATCTATTGGAGCAACTTTTGTGATCTCAATAAGGCCTTCTGATAATGTGGGAACAATATTCTTCATTAGAAAATCTCTAGTCTTAAGATCCTTTACCTTCTTCAGATCTTCAGAATGTTTCTTTATTTGTGGCAGCCTATCTTGAGCTAGCTTTTGAAGCCTTGTTTCATATTTTTCTTTATTTTGAACCTCGGCCAGATCTCTTTCTTCTTTAATCTTGATTGAATCATTTTCATGTTGCTCTAATTGGATATGTCTATCATTATTAAGCTTATCCAATGGAGATAAGTAATTATAAGGTCTTCCGTGTCTTTCAACATAGATTCTTAAGCTTTCAAAGAGCTCAAAGATGCCAATTCCTGCAAAGATGTCTAACAACTCTGTCTCCTTTTCTTGGAAGAACCTAGCAGTCGTTAAAGCTGGCTTTCCTGGTTCAAGCCCATATCTGTAATCATCAATAGTATTTCCTTGATGCCAGGCTGCAAGTCTTCTATTCATATGATTATCATAATAATGTGAGTTCTTCATCACTTCACTTGGCAATTTCTTAGCTTTTTCCATTAAAAATTCATCAGTAGCTTCAAGAATAATAACAGATTCAGGGTAAATATGCTTTTGGAATTTTGGCTTATACTTCTTTTCATCTTCTTCCTCCTCACCTTCGTCTGCATTTTCTTCTTCACCCTCTCCTTCTCCTTCTGGTTTCTTTGGCTTTTCCTTTTTCTTTGGAGCCCAGTAGAATAGGTTCTTGGCATCTTCGTATGTCCTGGGGAACCCATCAAGTACGAACCCTCTGTGTTGACAGTCATTCTGCTCTAGTCTATGCCTGACCATGCCACACAGTAATTCGTTGGAGTATGGCTTCTCTGAATTCTTAATCCTAGTCAAGAGTTCATTCTCCTCTCCTTCTAGGATCTCCATTGCTTCAATTTCAGGGATCAAGTTCTTCAAATTTATCAATGGAATGTTGTAGTGATCAGCAAGCTTTTCTCCAAAGAATGTCTTTCCGGAAAGAGGTGGCCCAGTAATGAAGATCTTGATGGGATTGAGATTTGTGACTTTACAGAATTCTCCCTTTACTTTATCGATATTTGCAGCAAGACCTTTCTCACAATGCCATGGGAATTCTACAGGTTCTGCCTCCTCGTCATTCGATTCTTGGACCATTAATGGTGAAGGTTTCAAGTTAAGATCTATAGAAAGGGTTGAATTTGGTCTTTCAGTTAATTCCAGTCTTGAGTTAAATCTAACAGCATCATCTACTTGATACTCCTTTGATTCTGTTTTACCAGTTCCAATACCAGATGAAATAGCTTGAATAATAGATTTCTGTCTTCTATCTTCAGTATTATCAATAGCAAAAATGTATTGATGCTCAGGTTTAGTCTCATAAACTTTTCTTACTAATCTTGCCAAATCGACAACATGAATAGTTGGAATTCTGTTTTCTCCATCTTCTATATATGGGAGATGTTCGGGGTCTTGAAGCCAAGCACTCTTAAGCTTGTCATTAAACACAGTCTCTTCTTTCTTAAAAGCTGTTAATTTCTCTCCATTTCCATAAATGATGCCTGAACAAACAACATAAGTCTTTAGTCCTTTCTTCTTGAGTTCAAGAATCCTATCTTCCCACTCTTTAATTTTCTCATAGTCTTCAGGAGGATTCCTAATAGCATACTCAACTTCAGTGTATGGTTCATTTCTATACTCGACTTGGGGGATTTCTTCATCTCCTTCATTATCACCTTCTCCTTGAGCTTCTTCGCCTTCACCTTGAGCGCCCTCTCCTTCCCCTTCCTTGTTTCCTTCGCCTTCATCTACTTTATCACCTTCAGCTTCTTTATCCTTGTCGCCTTCAGCTTCATTTGGGTCTTTCTCTTCTTCTTTTTCACCTTCTCCTTCACCCTCGCCTTCCTTCTTCTCTCCTTCAGGTTTGATTTCAACTAACTTAGGCTCAGTATTCTTCCAGACAGCTACTGAGGAGATTAAGATCAGAACTTTTTCTTCAGCTTCTTCTTCAATCTTGTACTTCTCAAAGGCTCCAAGGGCGAGTTCTATATCTCTTGGGTCTCCTCTGTGGAGGTCATAGATGATTACATCACAGTCAGAGATATACTTCATTGCTAGTCTTGGCTTTCCTCTTTTAAGCATCTTTTTGATACCTTGGGGTTTCTCTGAGGAATCTTTCTCAAAGTAAGTACCATACATTATGTTAGCTTCTTCGTTGATCTCTCCATCCTCTGTAACGTCATTTCTAATTTCCTGGAACAAGGCATCGCCAATGTAAGTGTCAAGGTTATTTATAAAATATTTCTTTGACATTTTAAATTAATTTTTATTTCAAATATAACTTTTTAAAGAGGGGTTTTGGGGTTTTGGGGTTTTGGGGTTTTGGGG